CATCGACTGGCAAACACTATTCACTTGACTCTGAAGATGACTTCCGCTCAGGTTGTCGAAACGTCAGTCATCAACAACATTTCTTTTCAGAACTACACTCACCCGGACGATCACACTATACGAACTATTTCGTAAGTTTGTACTCGACCTTTTGAGACCCTGGGCCGGGTTGCTCGAAAGCCGGTTAACGCTAACCCAGGATTAAAAGTTAACCAGTGCTGGAAATAATTTTTCTTCTTTAACAGGACATGTGTCCTTTCAAATCTTCATTTTGGTCGGACATCTCATCAATTTGACTGGACATTAATTTGCATAATTGATTAGCATAATAATTAGCATAAGAAAATTTATCAGCATACTGTTAAGATTTTCAACACAAACCGTTCAAAACTGTATTTAAATTTGATTTATCTATTATTTATGATTAACTAGATGACTTTATGCTACTAGATGACCACACCAGTCTCTCCTGGTTATCTCCTGATTACATGTTCTTCAAGCAAACCTAGTTTTCTACTGAATGCTACCATTAAAGGGAAACAGTCAGCTTTGGGACCACGCTGACCTGAAGAAAGTTCACCTCAACCTGAAATCAAAGAACATCTAAAAATCCACTTCAATCTTCGCAGTGTTTTGCTTGATTTTCAATCGCTTACTGAAAAACCTGTTTTGAGTGTGCTTTTTCTCATCCTGTGATATCATTTTTATCATATTTGATTAAAAACAGTATGGATCGGGTCTCTGTGATATGCAAATTAGCTATGAAATGGTATCTAATGCGCATGTGCTCCAGCTGACTGTGTCCCTTTAAAGCAGGAGCCCATCACTAGGAGTGTGCAACTACCTCAATTATTCCTGTCCCGGCGTTTCCACAGAAAGATCTATTTTTAGCTTAAATTTACTGCGAATTCAGACCCGCCAGGAACCTCAGTGACCAATCACAAGCACGGACTTTATAATTTCACCGGAAGATTGGTTCGCCATGTCCACCTGAGGTCGCCATTTTTCGCCTTACCGATGCGTGCTCATATAGACTGGAACTGACCTTTTTTCGTGGGAAAAGAAGCCTAAAAATAGACCGGTCTGTAAAAGTACCATGACATAGGCTTAGTATGGGAGTTGCAGGCTCCTAGTGATGAGCTCCTGACCAAAGTTGACTCTATCTAGGGTACATACATATGAAGGGCTAGCAGCATAACGCAATGCACGTAATGCATAATAGGGAGATTTCTGAAGAGCACTTTATTTGGCAAGTACAGGATAGATGAACACTTATGCTTTATGATATGGCAGGAGCCCATAATGGGCTCCTGGATATGTAGACTTGCTCCAAGTCGACCTCTCGCAACCGTGTCGAGCGTGAGCGTCCAAGGTCGCGAAGCGACCGAGCGAGCAACGCAGTCGCGAACGAGGTCGACTTGTTTCGCCTGAATAGATTTGAATCACATTATAAATTCACGCGCGAAAAATGATTGACATATGCTCAGTTTCCTGATAGTTTCTGTCTTAAACCTCATGCTTACCATTTTGCAATACAGTGACTTTCGTGGACAAAAACAGCTTTGGTCGAATCCTTTAAGTCTCGAATGACGGTTCTGTGAGAGTTCAACAGAGCCTAAGGACTGCCAAACAAAAGGTTGAACCGACCAAGTCGAATGTCTTTCATTTCGGCGGCACTACTTTCAGGGCCGATAATGGCTGCTGCTATGCCGCGACTTTTCAAGCCAGCAACTTGGTCCTTCATTAATGACACGAGAGGGGCCACCACAAGACAAATGGAGCATATATCCGTTTGCTTTTCTGCGTTTTCGACTCCCACTTCAATTCCCTCAAAAACAAACGGAGCAATCTCAAAGCATAACGATTTGCCCGATCCAGTCGGAGAGCAAAAATACACGTCCTTTCCAGTGAGATAAGCCTCCACGACTCGTCTCTGACCATCTCGTAACTTGCTGTAACCTAATTTCTGCAGACCGAAGTTTAAAACACCTTCCATGTCTTCCAGACCGTCTTCATTGCTTCGAAGAAACAAAAACAAAGATGGCGTCTTTCTCGAGTCTCAGATTACTTCATGATAAAACCCGTCAATTGTCATGACGTCACCGGTAGAATTTTCGAGCGGTGAATTTGGCGCCAAACAGGTATGAAAAGTCCTTTTAAAAGGCCCAACCAACCAGAAAAAAAATTTAAAAGGACTTTGAGAAAGTCTACTGGATATGGTAATGGCTCCTGGATATGGCTCAAACTGTCAGAGTCAAGGGCCCAAAATTAAAAAAAACTCTTGAGTAGCCATTTGGCGACTAAGTGATAAAAATCAAGTGGAATTTTATTCAGAAAAGAACTCAATGCATAAAATCTATAAAGAAAAAAATTTCCACGACGTTTTTGGCCGCTAATTTTGTGTACGCATTACAAAAGACACAATCGGTAGGCATATATGACGTACTCAATGCTCAAGGGTTTGCAATGCATTATAGGGCGATTTCAAACGCGATTAGCCATTTGCAAGTTTTTCGATTTGAGGGAATCCTTTAAAGCAAAGCAAACGGATAGATTGCTTTTTTTCCTTATATTGAATGTTATGGAAGCAAAGATCTTTCACTATGTATTTCTGGAAGGACATAATGACTGAGAAAAAAACGTTATTGATCGTCAACGCAGAGAAACGTGGTCGCCAAAGATGAAATTTTAGCCGCATTGGCGACCGTACCGGTTGCAACCAACTTCGAGCCTTTTAACAATGTATATAACCAACTTTAATTTATGGATGGACAATAACTTGGTGTCGGTGATTGAAATGTTCGGACATCATAATGGCCGGACATATTCAAAATTTGGTCGGCCGACTGTTATTTCCAGCCCTGTTAACCGAAGTATCCATTATATTTTAACGCATATAGCGTATGGATTTTCCCTTTTTGGTTCAAAAAGCAAATTAATTTTTTTAACAAACAGTTACTAATTAACGTCCCAGTTTTAAGCTTGCTAAAGCTGCTTGTTGCGATTGTTACCATTAAGACCTAATGGCTTTGGGTTTTGGTTAAATCTTGATACTTTAATTTAAAAGCAATGAAGACAACAACAAAAAAATTCTTTTTCATGTATAGCCAATGGATTGCTGACAATTAAAAAATAAAGAATTTCATTATGGCAGTATCCGAGCGTTCCTCCTTGGCTGAAGGTGCCCAACAGAGTTGGTACTAGCTTTCGGTGTTGTGGGCCTATTGCCCACGAAAATCAGAACGCAACCTAACCATTAACTAGTATAGCACGCGTTTCCGCAGCAGAGTGCACAAATCAGTAAAGTCTAATCCGGCGAGAGCAAAAAAATGATAATTTGCTTTCAGAAGTAAGCTCTAAGAGCTCTTTGATTATATATATATGTTTTCACTTTCCTCTAATATAAACCCAAGCCATTCGTTATTTCTTGGTCGGGATCATTAGCGGTCCAATAAGTTCTAAATGCAGTTTTTCTATGTGCAGGTTACATTTTTTTCCACACCGACATTTTGAAACACTTATGACTATCTTACTATCTTATTTGGTGAGTTTAGTGTAAGCAAAGATAATATCATTTTAAATCACCTGATACTTATGGCAAAATTTTATATTTATAAATGCAAATTGAACAATATGGAACCATCATTATATGTTTTCGTAGCAAAAGTTAAAATAGTTCAGGACATAGAACGACGAATAGCAGTAAAACATAAAAAGGTGACTAAATATAACAAAAAATGGGAAAAACTCTTAACTTGTAATTTCATCTAAACTGTCGACGTTGTTTCTTGAACCCCCTCTCCCGAAAAAGTATTGTAAATAAGACTCTATTGTATGTAACGTATTGTAAGTAGTTTTCTGTGAGTAATATATTGTAAGTAATTTACGTGTATGTAGTGTACGTTTAGTTATGTAATTTACTGTCACTAGTCTATTGTAAGCAACACACTGTGATTCGGTATTTGTAACTGAGTAAAGTATTGTTAGAAGTATGTTTAAGTGTAGTTAAGTTGTGTGTCATATTGTACTGTATTATAAGTGCAATAAAAAAAAATGAAAAATTACAAAAAAAATACAATGCGACTGTTCTCAAAGTACAATTGTTCTGGAAGTAAAGTGTAGGCATAAAGTCACGTACTGTTCGGTGTTTACAAGAGGAATATTTCCGACTGCAATCACAGTTCATTCATTCAACACGTTTAGATTTGTAAAGGCCTATAGCAGGTTTGTTTGTAAAACATTGGATTATATGAAACATATGACTCAACTTCCGCAGTAGCGACAGCATGTGTTTTTTCTGACAGACCTGACACGCAGTTCATCATTATAATACCTGTTAAATTCGTGCTTTTTCAAAGGATCTGTTTGTGTCGCTGATGTCATCTTTACCTTCCTCTTTAGAATTGATATACGCTAAGCTGTTGCCGTGAATATTTAGCTTCGAAAGGTTCCTGTGAAGACTTTCAAGATCTCTGTTCTCTGACCACTCTTACATATGCTTTCATAGATTTTATACAATCACCATGTTTCTTTCTTCATGAAGGAATTAATCCATAGACTACAACTCTGTATCTTCAAGTACTTCTACTGTTATTGTATGTCCTGCTAGGTTGTATACTTCTTTGGTGTTGATTATTTGTTCCTGAAGAATACGGTGAAGAACGATGAGATATTCAGGCTGGCTTGCCCGGTTTGATTCAGAGCTGTGTCTCTGTACTTCTGTCTTGAAATGTTCACTATCTTTACATGGGTTGCACAATTCGCCTTTCTCATCTTCATCTGTATGAAGTTTACCGCTCGCAGAAGTTTTTCTGCCTTTAAAAAAGGCACTTAGTCGATTAGCCTGGGAGTTCCTTTTAACAGAAAGCTTCATTTTAAAACATACATAAAGTTTATGTCACTGCAGCCTGTTGTAAAGTAAATAGTAATCTCTTGCCAGTAAATATCAGTGTAAAACTGGGTGAAATATTTTCTAGATTTCCTTCTCGATAATCCGAATTTGACAAATAAGTGACAGAAACAAGACGACTTCTGCTCTGCCACCCAAACTGCAGACGTGAGATTGGCCATGTTTTTTAGTACTTTGAACAATCAAAGACTACTCAAATGATTTCGGCTTTGTTTTTGTCGTATTTAATACGTGATCAAGAAAGATGTCTCCTCGACTGACACCTCCTTAAAAGCATCAAAACCTTAATTGTCTGAAAGAGATTCGTTGCCCTACAAAAGTTCAAGGTTGCAGATTCCAAGGACGTAAACAATGCGGCTGCTATATTTCGCTGTTATCAAAAACACTTATTTACCACTAACAAAATTGGAATTTTTTTGCCGGATTATGAAGGTAAAGTGGTGTTTATGCTTTCCATATCAGAAATGTACTGCTGGCAAGTTTTTATATTCGTCCACAAAATCGTGAACAATTTTCCTGTTATCTCAAACGTGATGGCCAGATGACATTTTAAATGACTGACATAGTTCTAGAGTAAATTACTCTCACCTGGGTTTTCTGATAACTAATACATTTGAAACATATCTGCCAAATGGTCAAGCTACGCTAGCCAGTGATTCTTTCCTAGACGAGTTTGAAACTAGTGGGTAGGCTAGGGTGCAGATAGCTCCCATCGCCGTATGTGTCTCTTCTAAAGTAATACTGGTTAAGGAAGCTGGTATTGTTTGCAAAAATTAGATTCACCAAAAGTCTTTGTGAAATGAAACAAAAAAAAAATAGAATGAAAACGCTAGATTAAAAAAAAATAGTAATAATAATAATAAATAAATAAATAAATTTAACGAAATATCAATAGGAAGTTATTTTCAAGGTTAATCGCAGAGCTCTTACTTGATTGTCACAAAATAATCAAACGTTTATTTGTTACAGCCAAGAGTAGACAAGAAACTATGATCTTGTCTCTTGGAGTAGGCGATTTCTAAACATTTCATTGTGTAAGTGCAATTTCGNAGATTGCTTTCTTTTCTTATGTTGAATGTTATAGAAGTAAAGATCTTTCACTATGTATTTCTGGAAGGACATAATGACTGAGAAAATAACCGTTGTTGATCGTCAACACAGAAACGTAGAGCCCATTATGGTAGCCTTTGAACGCAGACGTTCTTCGGTAGTCGACTAAACCAGAATTTTTGGTCGCCAAAGATGAAATTTTAGCCGCATTGGCGACCGTACCGGTCGCAACTTCGAGCCTTTTTAACAATTTATAAAACTAAATTTTATGGATGGACAATAGGTGCTGGTGAAATGTTCGGACATCATGTCCGATCATAATGTGAAATTGACCGGACATATTCAAGATTTGGTCGGACAATGTCCGATGACCGACTGTTATTTCCAGCCCTGGAGGCTGCTTCTTCCTTCACGTCATCATAACTCTAGACGATGAGCAATCTCTTTCTTTCCCGTAGCGTGCTATGGATTCGTTCTATTTCGTAGCTCAGGTCAGACCAACTTCTGTCCTTTTACTTCATTCCACTTGTTCAGCGGTGTTTGTTTGTTAAACGTGCGCGGCACAAACTCTTTCGAAAAAAAAAAACCGCTAAATAAGTTTGCAACGATCGGAGAACATCAAAACTGGTAACATAGTCAAAACTGAACTGAACTTGAGAAAAAGTTTGAAAAATTAGAGAGTTCTTTTTCGTAACCTCAACCTGCGAACAGTAAAAAAAAAAATGAATAAGACAAGCGGAAAAAAAAAATGAGAACTTGCCATGGATAGGTTGTGAAAACGATTAAAAGGGATAAAAATGCTTGATTAAAAGAATGCGTTAAATTTTTATTGAAAGCGGGTTTAAGTAACAGCCCGACAGCTCAAAGGTATATGACGGCGACTGTTCCCGGTGTTTTGTTATTTCGGTTCACTTGTGGAAGCCGCAATGCTCGGTCCCCGCGCACACCACAGAACACTGTCTTGAATCCTTTTCGCAACTCTGGGACACAAACGTAATAGATGAGAGGGTAAAAACCCGCATTAATAAAGACCATCGCCACACAAAACCGTAATGTAGCGAAGAACCATTCTCGCTGCTCACAACTCGAACAATAGACCTCGCACAACGCAAAGACGAGATAGGGAACCACAGATACGAAATACAACAACGCCACAAAAATAAACGCGTTTGACAAGAGTATTTGTTTTTTGAGCTTTGTTGTGTGGCTTCGCTCCCCGCGTAAAGCACAGTTGGAGCTGTCACGCTCTGTTCGGAGTACTTTCAGTTTTCTTATAGACTTGTGCAGCAGGGCAGTCAAAGTGATCGTCGCTGCGAGAGGAATTATGATGTTAAGATGAACATCCAGTCTGCGAATCCACCATTTTGTGGCAACTATTTCGAATATTGAAAAACACAGCGCGTACAAAGCAATGCAGGCGAAGCAGATCAAGGCATTTTTTACTTTTTCACCGCTGTGATGGAACACTGGAAAAGCCGTATTTCCTAAACGTTCCACGGAAAAAGCGAGTACAAGAAAATTCTCGGCGCGTATCAGGAATGTTAAACAGGTTCTTGAAAATTGGTTTTGGAAGTGAGGCGAATCTTCTGCGCCCAACGCGCATGCTATGTAGCTTTCTGCTGCCGCTGTACCGGCCACGCCTCCAAATAGAAAATGCAGCACTGCCAAACTGGAGATGTAAAGCGCTGTTGTCGACCTGAGGGATTTCGTTGGATCTTTGTACAGCACAACTAACAGAAGACAGTTTAGCACCACGGCCATAAGGGAAAATATGAGCACAAAAACTGCGCCAGGGATGCAGACTGGTGATCGCAAGTCGTCTTCCATGCTTTTCACTACCGTCTCAAGTTTCAAGGATGTACGGGTTTTCTAGGTCTGCGTAGCGTGCAAACCACCTGCAGACCTGTGTAAAGATAGAAAAGGAAACATTACCCAGTGATTAAATTCGAACTAAACCCCCAAAAGTTATAAAAAGCGGATTTCTCCTAGCAATCTAAATACGTTGTCAAGGAGACAGGTGATGAGAATAAAGAAAATCATCAGCTAGAGTTTATGCTTACGCAATGACGACGGCGACGCCGAGGACAACGCCTTGACTATCTGACTGACTAACTGACTGACTATCTAACTGATTGTCTGACTGTCTGTCTGACTGACTGACTGACTGTCTTACTGACGGACGGACTGACTGACGGACGGACGGACGGACGGACTGACTGACTGTCTGACTTACTGACTGACTGAATAGAGGGAGTAAGTTATTAAAGAAACTGAGGTGCTGCGTCGGTGAGTAGTATAACAAGATAATTTTGTTTATCAACTGGGTTGATGATGTGAATTGGCCACCGTAAAGAGATTCGAAAGCTGAAGTTTCGAGCGTTAGCCCATAGCAAATGGATTCGCTCCGAGGAAGGGCTAACGCTCGAAACGTCAGCTTTCGAATCTCTTTACAGTGGCCAATTCACATCATCAACCCAGTTGACAAAACCAAAATACTGACTGACTGACTGGCTGGCTGGCTGGCTGGCTGACTGGCTGACTGACTGACTGACTGACTCACTGACTGACTCACTGGCTGTCAGTCAGAATTGTGCAAACGCTGAGCAGTAGGGTCAAGATAAACAAGTCGCCTCTCAAGTTCTCGCTCTTCTGCGCGTCGATTTCTCTAAAAAACAATGCATCCAGAATTATTTCTAATGGACAATTTCCATCCATAAAAAGGTACGTACTTAAAATGTACCTAAACCCCAATTTTAAAGCGGTTTTTGTGGAAAACAATTGAAAGCATGGCCGTTTTATCATTCCAGCTTAATTTCCAAATTACGTATTCTTATCTCTGCTATTAACATCTTACTTTTATTCATCTCTGTAGGATTGCGGTTTCAGCGTGAATTTTTCATGATTTCAAATGAATAAAGACGGCACGCGATATGCCGTTAATAAGTTAATAATTTATTGCAAAACAAATAACATTCTGGTTCTATCTTGGAACGTTTCGTTTGATCCAAAAAAGCTCTTAGCAAAGCTAACCATCAAAAAAACCCAACGACAGATTATTGGCGAAGTGGCAAACATTCCTGGAAGATTGAAATGATTACAAATAACAAGAACGAACGTTTCACAGAAAATTTCGGAAATGTTGATTCCCCTCGAATTATTTTTTCCCGCTAATCAGAATACCTTTTGGTCAATTTCCGTCAGACATCTTGAAAGTCTTCAATTACCCTTCAGCCGAATGCACTTTTTTAGGGTAAAGAACAGGTCCCAGAAAAACGAGAAATGGCACATTATATCTGAGCAGAATTTATCTAGCGGTGTTTTAAAACTAACGAAACAAAAGTTTACTAAACCACAAGAGTGATGTTTGCAACAGTTCTGCAGAGTAGTTTAAAACGTAATAACATGAATTACTAAAATTGAACATTCGTGAATGACATATACGCGTATATGCTTGCCAAATATTCTAACCTGAAAAAGCCCAAAGATGGAAACTTTTCATATTTTAAAAAGCAGCTATTGTTCCAGCCGAGGCAACGGCCGAAGGTTTGAAGTATTTCCGTTTAATAACATCTGTGCATTTCTATTCGTTAAAGTTTACCTTTCGCTTTGCTATAAAAGGTTTCTCAACACGACTGACAGGGGAAAAATAGCGTACACCACAAATCAAAACTGAGAAATGAAAACACTTCGCGTTTTATCTTCAACTACATGCCTCAAGGTCCAATATTCCTCATTTTCTGGGATTTGAACTTTGAACACTGTGTTAGAGCCAGATTTTCAGTTCAAATTCAATTTACATCTCCGCAAACGCGAAAGAATTAATAAACCGTGTAAAAATGGTTTCAGTAAAACGTACATCATTTAGGGTTCAAGTTGGTCGTATGTTTGTAAAATGGAAAAAGAAAACTGTTAAATTCGACGCGAGGTAACGTTTCTTCTTCAAAATTACATTCTTATTGAGAAAGGAAGAGAAAAAAACTAAAACCTACCGTTGGGTTGAAGCCGGCCGATCACAATTATTTCGTCGAGTTAGCGTTAAAAGACAGATTAATACAGCCAGTTAATTTTTCTGCCCACTTTTCAGAAATTCGTTCCCTCAAGTCGCGTAAAATTACACAAACGGCCGCAAAATCAGTAAATAAAACAGAAATGGTTAACCAAAGAAGCCATTTGACAACAAAAACGCGAAACGCGAGGCTTGTGGTTGCAAGTGCTATATCGAGGACGTGACGATTTGACATTCACTGGAAAATCACCGACTGACAGAACGTGATAAAAGGACACTTTTTATGTAAACTAGCAACGCAGTTCTATTAAACCTACATTTGCAACACAAGGAAATGTAAACAACATTTTAACGGCTGCGAAATACACATTAATCTAATACTTCCTACATCATCCAAATTCGGTAATTCGAACAATATTTCACCAAACAAGACTTGATTGAAGATTAATATTTATCTTGCCCGCCAAAAAAAAAACCAAACATGCAACATTTTATCCAACTAGCCATTAAAATTCTAAATTTGCATTAAGAAGGTCGTTGGCCTCCCAAAGCTAATTTGAAGTTAAGTCACGTTCGATTTAATTTTGCTGAAAGATACCTCATGGGGTGTTTCTATATAAACCTTTTTGTTTTTAAGCCGCTGCAAATAAATCAAAAATGTTCAATTTACTTCATTTATAGAAAGCAAGAAAACATATGTTCTTTTGTTATAACTATTTTGGCAGGCGCGAAAATCTTTTCCTTTTATTCCTCATTAAAACTCATGTTCGGGTGGGAAATTTTAGCAGCAACGACCTCTGGCAGTTTCTTACTTTGTGATATCGTTTCCCGCAAATGAATTCAATAAATCGAACTTGAACGCAGAAAAATCCAGTTTCTACAAAACTCGATCGTTGTTTGGAAATTAACGGTTACGAAAGTGCAAGAACTAAATCGATAAAAAATATAAAAAAGACCAAGTCTTATTCTTGGCTTAGGGCTGAAAATCTCCCGAGCCCGCAATTGCTTACTTGTCGGTCAGTGAAGCACCACTTTGGTAAACCAAAAAACAGTCTACGTGACAACTGTCGGAGTGTTGTCGTGTTGATCTTGATTGGTACAGACACAAATCGGAAACTTTTCGGGCGGTTCACGAACATTACAACCGAAGGATCCACAAGATCCGTAAGTACGCTGACGAGGTTTCTGTAAGTTTATAAAAAGCGTGAGAAATATTTTCTGTAGGTTATTTTCTAAACGAAACAGGAACCGTCGTTCTCGGAAGAGTGCTGTATTAATCGTTCTCGTAGACTTCATACAGCATCAGATGTTAGCGCTGTTCAAAGCACGACTTAAGCTGATCTAGGAAAAGCAAAAAGGCATATTCAGTACTATAATAACAATTCTAATAAGCAGTTTCTTCGAACTACATTTTAGGATGAAAAATAGTGATAAAAAACGACGACTCGATCCCTCTGAGATCATTTTCTAGTTTAAAAAGTAATAAAATTTTGCGTATAAGAGTAAAATGAAGAGATGAGAATTTGAAAAGCGATTAAAATAAAATGTAAATACGCAAAATTAAAATAAAATGATCTCACAGAGCTCGAGACGTCGCTTTTAAGCGCTAGTTTTTATCCTAAAATATAATATCAATGATTTCTATTTCTTCACTTTTTCTATATTTTAGTATCCTTTTCTTAGTGTTCTTTCTTCTAAAAATGTCAAACCTTTACACACTTCTGTAAAGCATTGTAGTGTTGGTTAAAAAAAAAACGTGGGTTTATAACTTTGAGCTGTAATATATTTCAGTACCCCTTGCATTCTGAACGCGAACGCATTCTGAACGCGTCACCGGAGGAATTTGAAAACAAAGGTTTCGCTCCGAAAACGCATCAAATTTTTTTTTTTTTCGTCCACACTACGCCGGAAAAATTTTAAAACGCTACAATCATCGCTTATTTTGGATTTATGTTTAAGGAAAACTCGAACAGGGAAATTAAATGATAATCGTGACGTCACATCGTTTTCGAGAAGCTCCGTTTTCAAAATGTTTTCCGTCCACACGAAAACGAAAACCCGGCGTTTTCAGATTCCTTCCGTTTGAAGAGCGTTTCGGAAAAGTTCCGTTTTCGTGACGGATTAGTGTGCACGGTAGGCCGAACCGTAGAAGTAAAGATGCGTTTTCAAATTTTCCTATTATCGACACTTGGTAAACCAGAAGTGTCTATTCACTAGTTTTTCTACAGGGCTAAGAAGGGGAAAACAAGAATGTTATCTTCTCCTTACTACGCGACATAACACTGTCGGACAATATATTCTGACGTTTCCTAAAGTTATAGAAGATGACTACAAAATTGTACTCTTTGCAGTTCTTTGTTTGCAGTCCGCTTCCACTGATTATCGAGCTCTCGACAGCTTGACGTTCCGTTTTAGCTGTTTCGAAATTTGATTCAAATTTCCGCTGTCTTTAGAAAAGAAACAAAAATACGTCGTTTGTGTTTGACAAGTTCAAGATGAGATACCGCAAAACTGGAACAAACATAATTATCGTACTTCCGAAAGCATAAGTGAAACTTCCTCTCATAAAGATTTGTTGATCGGGGACATAACACGCCTTCTAATTGTGAAGTCATTATATCTAAAGGCTTTGTAAACACAGCTTGTTAACACAGTCACCACTTCCTGTTTACACAGTGCTGATGGCACTCGAGAAAGTTTGAGATAAATTCTCCTTTACAAATAATTCTCCAGAGAGCGATTTTTGTATGACTTTGAAAATGAATTAGAAGTAAGCAATATGATTGGTTTAGCGTGCGCCCACGATTCGCCTTTGACGTCACTAGCTTTCAGTATTCTCATTGGTCAATTAAACAAGGTCATTCAGACATGGTTATTCTTTTCATTTACGTTCTTGTCTGGCAATGTCAACAAAGGCGACATTTTTCTTTGCTTTAATATTGGAACGTTCCAAAAAATTTTCCGCATCTCCCAGTGGAGGGGCAGATTCCGACAGGACTCGAATTCGGTAAATGCTTATTCCGACAGGTCCTAAATTCAATTTCAACGATTCCTATAGGGCTGCTTTATATAATTCCCATTTTTCCTAGGGGCCCAATGCTGTTTCATCCCGATATAAAAAATGCTGATTCCGACAGGGCCCCTCAATTTATACAGGAAAAAGCTTAATGATTCAGGCTTAATACTTTAGCGATTCCGATGGGATCGTTTACCTCTAAATGCTGTTTCCGAATCCCCCAGTTATGGGGAAAAATGCAGATTCCGACAGGGCCCAATAGGACCATACTAAAATATGCCCCCCATAAGGAGGGGGGAGGGGGTATGGATAAAAAATGGAACGTCCCATTGTGAAACAACCCAGAAGCAAACACAAACACTTGAAAAAAAAGGCAGCCTTTGCCGACAGGTTCTTCTACCTGAGACAAGAATATGGCTGTTACCAAAACAGTGTGGAAAAAATAGTACAAGGCTGAAAAAGCTCTTAAAACTGTCAAAAACTGCATCAAGGACAGATGTTTTAGACTTGACAGTTCTTCAGTATGTTGAAATGGGCGAGCTTAGCTGTTTAGCGCATCCCACAAGTTGTTTGGTCATTTCCACCAGTGTTGAAAGTCTGACAAGACAGCTGATTAAGGTATAAGGGAAGTATGCAATGGTTTCTCGTAACAAAATCTGACCTACTTGTTATCTGTTAGAGTTATTCACTTCTGATCTTTTGATAAACTTGAGAATAGAAAGTCTCTCCCTGCCGGCTCTTCTTGACAGTATAACATCACCGCACAATCCAAACGAGTCTAACAAACTAATGATCTCATCTGAAGGAAATTAAAGAAAATGGTAATTATATAACTCACTTGGTACCAGGGTTAGAAAATTCAAAGAAAAGACGTCAGGTGACATGGAGGTATTTAGAGGTGAACAGAATAGTAAGCAAGAAAGTGCAAAAGATCTTTAATAGGGAATCATTAAACAAAAGAGGGAAATAAACAAAAATATTCTTAGACAGGCTAATTGAGGAGGAATACCTGAGACCATAGCAAACGGCATCAATACAAAGAGGGCCACATCCTACAAGAAACTTGGTTGGTTGTGACATATATTACTACAATGGTTGTGTAAGTGATTACGCCCTGTTGGTTGTCCTGTTGTTAGTGTGGGTTCCCTGTGGTAGTAAATGAGCAAGCTCATTGATTTGTAACACCAATCACACCCAGTCCAGAAAATAAGTTTCACTGTGTGGGATATTCATCCTCAGAAAAAAAGAGCTTAGAAAAACCATACCTGGTTTATTTTCTGCTACAGTCACAAGGTAAAAACACCCTGAGCTGGATAGAAGACTGGAAACAAGAGGAAACAGACGATCCATCACCTACACATTAATTAAAACCAAATTTAGTTTTCGCAAACAAACCTGCAGACAAGGAAGGCAGAATTTAAATGATTTGGAGGGACGCTGTCTCAAAATTAGACACATTTGTATAGATTTTCAACCATGTCTCAAGGTGGCTAACTTGTCTCTGTTTACCCTGAGAGCATCAAACTTAGTCACTTGACCAATCTCACTGTGATCTTTCATGTGGCGGTGTCACTTTATAAATTAGTTAAACCTTGAAACTCACCGCATTCCCCTGCGAAATTCCAAAATTGCCAATGCAGGATGTGTGTTTATAATAAAATTCTTATGACCTAGTTAATGGCCTAGTCACCCAGGAGTCTCTCTGCAGCTTGGTGGATAGAGCACCTGCCTGGTGTGTGACAGGTTATGGGTTTGAATCCTGTTGGTGACTGACTCGTATTTTTTCATACACGTGACTGACATAAAACTAATGCTATTAAGATAACTATTCTGGTTCGTTTTTTGGCTAGCTATTACATTAAAGTAAATTTTATTCCTTGCCTTATGTGAATTATATTTAATATTATTTTATTTTGTTCTAGGCAAATTAATGGTTGTTCTTGATGTTGCTGTTGTTGTAAGTTGTAACAAAACCATAAGCAGCAGAAGAAAATGTAATTATAATCTAAAATCCAGTCAAAATTTCAGGCAAACAGTGAAACAAAACAACTGGAATATAACAAGACATAAAATAATATTTTTTCCATACCTCCCTTCCTTGCTTTCCTCCTGCCCATGATGCCTCGATGTTGTGACTGCCAACCTGACAAACCAGAAAATACTGAATATAAATTTAAGAAATCGAGAAAAATTTAATGAGAAGATATTCTGTTCTTACCTCTTCAGACTCCGTAACAACATACGGTGGGTTGAAAATCAAAACATCAACTTTTCCCAAAATGTGAGGCACAATGCATTCAACCTGGAAAATTAAATAGTCTGGATTATTTTCAGTATCGCCATTAGGTGTAGGTTAAGTCTTGAATATATTTTCTGTATCTATAGACCTTTTCTCCAAGTCTCAAGAGCCCTGCAAATATCTTGCCTAAAGAATTTCTAGGAGATTTGTCTAAATAATACATGTACTCAAGATCTATTTGCTATACAATTCCATCATAAAGCGATTGGTCAGATTTCTAGATTTTGAGTTTTTCAAATATCAGTATTAGATGTTAAATGATTGAGTGAAGATGTCTTTATGTCTGGCTGAGACCATCATAAATAACATAGAGCATGAAATTAACAATGTCACAATACCCGTAATATGCAATTCAGAAGTTCTACAACAATACGGACAGAATATATCGAAACTTTAAGATTATGATTCAACTTACATCGACAATGTTTTAGTGTTTGAAAGCTAGAATGAAAGGGGTCTTTATGTTTCTTATAAAAAGACTATTTTCACTATCAGATTTTTTTCCAGGATAGCACTAGTCTTGATAAACTACCACTCACCAGGTCTGTCACAACACAGGAAACATTCACTCCATTTTGCTTTGCTGTTTGTGATGTACACTGGGCAGCAATGGGGTTTATATCTGTAGCTCTGGGAGAATTGAGACAGTAAAAAAATATTAACTTCAATATCACCCCTTTTGAAAATAGGGGAATGGTTATGAAACCAGGCATTAACCTCAAAGGACCAAACAAAGATCCCAAGATCTATGTTGGAAGGTCCCCAAGTGTGCACAATCTTTTCTTTTGTTTTGCGTTCATACAATATGTATGAGTTACGTGACAATCAAAACATTTCTGTTGGTTAGTTCCTTGGTCAGTAGTGAACAACTGTTGTGTTTTGTGCACGGTCAAGGCCAAAAAAGAGAACAAAAACATACAACAAAGAACTTTGTTGAGTTTCACAACCATTCCCCTCTGTTAACTACATTTTGAACCTTTACCTTTATAGAAATTACTTAAAATAAACAAAAAGAAACTGATAAGTTGAGTTATAAGAATATGGCAGTGGGATGACTTAGATATGAATCGAAGTTGAGGTACGGTCTGTGGAGTGTGTATTTCTAAGATCTGGTTCATGAAATGCAAAATTGTCAAAATTAAGTTTTGTGACAAAATCACCTTCTCCCCCTCCCCNCCCCCCCCCCCCACAACTTCCTTCCCACTGCCAATGCGTTGGCCATGAAAAGAATCATACAGAAAATTGCAATGGTCAATTCCCTCTATGAGACGTGCCTGCAGGGAATCATGGTAGTTGTATTCAGTCCAAGGTGCATTCTCATCTCCAGAGGCTGTGCTCCTTTTGGTCAGCACCAAGAGTCAAGACCTCAGGGAAGGTCCAATTTTCTGAGCTAATCAGATTTGTCAGACTTGACTCTGAGCATGTACAGAGTAACGGGAAGTCCATGAATCACGGACTTCCAGTGTTGGACTAGGCCAAAGGTCACGATTCTTGGTGCTCACCAAAAGGAGTGCAGCCTCTGGGGACAAGAATGTCCAAGGTGATGAATTCAACTACCATGACTCCCTGCTGGTGCATCTCAAAGAGGGAGTTTACCATTTCCCCTTCTTTCCAATATGCATAATTTCTATTACATGGAGCATTTACATCAAATGAATGCATTACAGCTTTATGCATGGCTATAATGGCGACAAGAAATTGAGGATAACTCATAGGCTTAATTAAGAAACAGGACGTAACATGTCGATCAAAGTCGATCATTGAAAACGTAGTCGATAAGTCAATAGTACTCGACATTTGTCGATAAATGTCACTCGACAAGTTAAGTTTGTCGATGAAAGTTGATAATCACAAGGTTTTCAACTGATTATCGATTTTATTGACAAAAATGCAGACAAATGTTTCAATCAGCTACAAAATTCAACCAAACCAATAATAGCTCCAATGACTTTTTTTACACCGAGTGTAAACAGCTCTAAAGTAAATCTGTATGACAATAAACTTAAATAAAAACCTGAACAACCAAGTGGTCTGTTATTCATTACAGAATAGAATGTTTAAATTACCTCGAGAAATGATCGATTAACAGTTTCAGCTGAACTAAATCACAATCTATAACATAACTTGAACCAACCGAGTTCCCAGAGTCTCTCTAGGCAGGGGAGATGAGAGATCCTGGGAACTCAAAGTCGTGTTTCTTCGGGGGGCAGAACGGGCCAAAGTTTAGACTAGATGCGGGGAAAAATCGAGGCCAGCAAAGTAATTAAGAGGTAACGTAAAGTAAATTGGCATTTTATTTCATCAGTGTTTTTATTCAGTTCAACATTTGACAAATACAAGCTGCTACAACTCTCCTCCCTCTCCGCTAGGTGTGCTGTATTTGTCGGGTTTGTATGCCCCTTGCTTCTCCTTGCATCTGTGACTGTTGCACCACTCCACAACCTACGTATGCCTACGCCATACATCGTTTTTTGTATTTCCGATACTTGTTGATTGAAATCGATCAAAATCGATCATAATCGAACAAAGTCGATAATCACAATAAATTGTGTGATGGACTTTTATCTATTTCCGATATTTGTCGATTAATTAGTATCGACAACGATCGACAATGATCGATTTTTATCAACTATCGAAATAATCGACATGTTACGTCCTGAAGAAACTACGGAAGTGGACACATTAAATTGACTCACATGTAATAGCAAAATGGTCCCAAAATAGAAGCCAAAAATGTTATCACAGCACCAGATCCACTGCCTACCTCCACGCACAAAAGTGGCCTGCGTACAAAACGGATCAAAGGCTAAAACTTCATTCTGTCCCGCAAGGTGTCGATAAAATTTTTGTAAGCTCACCTTCTTTCTTTCAAAGACTCTGCATCTTTCTCTACGGCATCCATCATGAGAAATGTATCCTCGGCCGGCTCATAAACATTTTGGTAATCTTCTTGGTTTAAGTGAGAAAACGAAGGGGTCGGAAACGACATTGTAAAACCGTAAGACTTAAAATTTAACTTTCGCGCTTCACCTTGATCGCCATGTTGTCCGTGAGGTTGTCGGGTAAGTCTGAAACCTGGAGTCAAACTAGTGCTTAGTCTTAATGCGCTCAGCACCCCAGGTGTTCTTTGTTTGTTCGACTGTAGTTCAGAATGGAACCAGAACTAAAACGTTTTAAAACGGACAACGATATTAAAGAAAATAGCACTTCCGATGAGAAATCTGCAATTTCTAGGGAATATCTGCACAATGGGGAAAAATGCAGCGACAAACACGTCGTGGAAACAGAACCCGCGCTCCACGCGGGAAATGAGCAACTTCCGGTGTGTAAACATGGTGAAAAGTGCAGTCAGACAGATTTGATTCACTTCGCAGAATTCTGGCACCCGACTGCAAAGGGCGATGGAGATGAAAATAACAACAAAGAGGGAGAAAGCTGCGAAGAAAATGAATGCGAAGTTGTGGAATTACCGTACTTTGACGTGGAAAGCACACAACCTGTTTTCGATGACTACTGTGACAGCGAATCGGAAGATGGCGAAGATAAGGGATCCGTCACAGCAAAAACGCATGAAGACCGACTTGCCAGCGATAGTTTGGGATCTCAGTAAGTACCGCTGTTTTGATCAACGTGCAAATCAAATAAAAAGCAAGCATGCTTTTGTGTTAAATAGAGCGGAAAATTCGTAATGTGATTTTCACACGAGTTAGCCGTCTGCAGTAATACGCGATTTGTTATTTATTCAGGCAAGGAACATTTTTTAAAAAAGAAGTCTATAAATAGTAATATTCCTTGAGAAAGAGACCTTTTGATTTTGTTTTTCGCCGCAGTTGAAAATTCATATCATTGATTGATGAAAAACAAATACCCTTGTCGACTAGTGCATCTGTTTTTAATATCAATTTTGCATCACAATAGTTAGGCACTTAACTTATTAACTGAACTACCAAGATACCATTTATTAAAATCGTGACGCGGCGTCACGCAACTGATTAGTGACGCGCATTAGCGCTAAGAGTATTTTTTAACAAATTCCACTCCCCTTGCATTGCCTAGAACTGATGGTCATAATTCCATTGTGATTAGGTCTCCATTCAAATTTCTTTTAGCTTTTCATGCATTTTATCATCCTTAGAGTATTTCCTGAGATGATCAGATCCTAACTTCTCGCAACCTGTCTGCTAGATTTTTAAATTAATATTCATATTCATATTTATTAATATTCTTTTATTTTTTTCTCTTGACTTTTATTACATGATTACTTATTTAGATTAGCTACATGGTGATCTGTCTTGCATGGAGTGTTCCACTCTTTTACAGATTATCCTTATGGCTTTGCTTGTTTGTGTATGCCTTTAGACTTAGATTTTAATTGCCATTAAATTGTAATAAATAAATAAATGAGAATCTAGATATTGAGAGCAAATTTAATAACCTGTCTTGCAGACTGTCACGAGATGACACGGTCCTGAGCCGCGGCCCCAGCATTGTGAAATGCTATTCTCTTTTGTCAGAAGCTGAGCGTCGGGAGCTCATCAGAAGGGCCTTTGAAATGAAAGATCTTTTAAAGAAGGAACTCGATAAAACTTTAGGCATCATTGAAGAAAAGAACAAAGAACTCAGACGAGTTCACTCACAGTTGGAAAGAGGTCAGCTGATGGTTGATGGAGAAAAAGAAGCTTTGGATAAGGATGACTTGTGTTATTTTCCTCTTTTTGCCGAGAGAGAATTTAAAGAAGGGTCAGCACCTCAGATGCATTTTCGCCTTGCAGGTAAATGTTTAGATGTGTTCCTTTATTATGGTCTACTGATCTTGTCTCAATAATTTCCCCCTCAACAGCTTTATTTGGGAGGTTAGAAATGTGCTAACCCCGATGCATTGTCCCCTTTTGGGAGGCGACTCAACCTCGTTGCCAGACTCTCTCTCCTCTGCCTCCCTTGTCATTTGGAGAAAGCCTCTCATGAGGAGTGGGTGGGTTTCCCCTCAGTGGAAGTCACAAGTGGTGTGTGCCAACCCCACAGAAGTCATCACTTAAACTCAGTGTAATCTTCTTTCCCCTTGTTGGAGTTATTTCTAAAAATATAAGGCACTATACTGTCTTCAGCTGATGAGTATTCTTACATGGTGAGGTAGAATTTGTTGCTAAAATTTATGGGGCCAAAAGGGCTGGAAATGTTTCACTCAAGCTGCTTGCACCCTGAAGGGTTCAATTTCCCCCCACCCCCCCCCCCCCTCCCCCCCCCCCCCTTTACTTTGGGTAAAGACAAAAAGAAGAAATTACCTCAAATTAGCTCAAGGTCTGAATCCGCCCTGGTTATCAATGAGTTGAAATAAAATTCACGTGTAGAGAATAATGTCAAGGTTATGTTATGT